AGATGTCACCCTGAAGGCTCACCAAGTGGGAGGAAGAATCAAGTTGTTTCAGACTCACAAAGTCTTAGCATACTTGAGGATGTGCTCCAGCAAAGCAAGGGAGTAAATGAAAAAAAGGGAGGGGGCAATTCTGTGGGAAGGTGAGGAGAAGAGAAACTTGAAGTTGGTGGCTGAGATGGAGGAGGGGTTCCTCATAGTGGGGCTGGGGGGCTATCTAAGGGGTTTGGCTGTTTGGGAGGGTTGAAGGATTATTTGGAGGATGGGGGACCACCACTGATTGGAAAAGGAGACTGATCTGTAACAAATGGTTTACAGGTGAAAAGCAGAAAGTGGGGAGGGCTTCCAGAGTCCTGCTTTCAGCTAACGATGGGGGTGCGGAATGCCTGATGATCCCAAGGACTTGTCGGTCATGGCCCTGCCAACCCACTGCCATGGAGTTGCTTCCAGCTCATAGCGAGCACATAGGACAGGGTACAACTACCTCCTTGGGTTCCCAAGGCTGTCAATCTTTACAGAAGCAGACTACCCCATTTTTCTCTGACAGAGTGGCTGTAGGGTTTGAAACACCAACCTTTTGGTTAGCAGCCAAATGATTTAAGCACTCTGCCTCCATAGCTACTGGCACCACAGTGAATTTAAGTCATTTTAGAACTAGCACTGCCACTGCTTGCTGTGGAGTCGACCTCACTCACGGTGGTGACCCTGCGTGTGACAGGGCAGAACTGGCCCGCAGGGTTCTCCAGGGCTGATTTTGGGGAAGCAGATCACCAGGCCTCTCTTCCGAGGTTCCTCTGGGGACCTTTCAGTTAGCAGCCAAGTGTCTTCACCATTGATACCACCTGGGGACTCCTCACTCTAAAACACCCATCACACATAGTAAGGCACACACTTAAGTGTTGAGGAGGCAGAAGGCAGTGTCTGCCACATGTTTGAAAATGCACCAGTAATTAACATGACAGTAGGGATGAACAGACACGGGTGAAACCACAAGTAGAATAAAATATCAATGGTCCACACTAAAACAGGGTTTTCCCACCTTGTGCTATTGTCATCTGGGGGCTGGATCCTTTGTGGGGGGGGTTCCTGTGCACTTCAGGGTGTTGAGCAGTATCCTCAGTCTCCATCCACTCAGTGCCAGCAGCATGCACACACACACGCGTGTACACACATGCGTACTCGTGTGCACATGTGCATGCGTATACACACATACACACACGCACTCCGTACTAGCTTCCCAGGAAAGCTCTTAGTTAGCTTCCACAAACTGGGTGACTTAAAACAACAGCAATGTGCCCACTTATAGTTGGAGGCCAGGGTGATGCTTGGCGATCCTTTGCTTGCAGACACAGCTCTCCTCTCGTGGCCACCATTCCTGTGTGACTGCACCCAAATTCCCCTTTAGTTGTGAGAGCATCTGGCATTGGATTTAGTGCCCACCCTTCTCCAGAAATAGGGAGCTCTGGTGGCGCAGTGATTAAGTACTTGTCTGTTAACGGAAAGGCTGCTGGTTCCGACCCACCCAGCAGCCCTGCAGAAGAAAGGCCTGGTGACCTGCTCCCGTCATTACAGCCTAGGAAACTGTGAGGCAGTTCTGCGTCACATGGTGTTTCTTTGATCTGGAATCAACTTCATAGCCACCAACAACTGCCAGTGTGACCTCACCTTAATTTGATTCAGTTTGCACAGAACCTAAAGGAGCTCTGGTGGAATAGTAGTTAAGGCACTGGGCTGCTAACCAAAAGGTTGGTGGTTTGAACCTACCAGTTGCTCCACAGAAGAAAAATGAGGCAGTGAATTATTTCCAAGTAAGGGGTCAGGCCTCCAGCATGTCTCTTTGGGGGACACAATTAAACCCACAGCATATCACCCCTCCCTCCAGTTCTGACAGGCAGAAACAGCTCCAGACCTTAAGAGCATTCACGGGTTGAAAGCCGTTGGTCTAGGTGGCAAGTACATGTTGCAGTTAGCTCTGCTCTGTCTGAAAACACACGTGTAATGGAATGTTAGGACATATAATGGAACGTTAGGATGTATAATGGAACTTCAGGATCAGTAAGAGGGAGGGGGATGGGCCTGTGCACTGAGTGCAGCTCAGTGTGTATGGGGCTTCATCGCACGAGTGCATGTTTGAAACCTTCCATAATATTGTTTCAGTTAAAAGACCTTTACGAGAGTGACTTCGAAGCGTCTGTGGATGAAACTAGCTTCAGAGCAATCCAGAGTGCGGAAGGGGTGTGCATGGAGGTGACGAGGGGGTGGCTGGGCTTGAGCACTGGGGGTCAGCTTTACTTCTGCTTATATTTGAGGTGTAGGTGAGGCAATTATTAAGCCCACAGCACCCCTCAGATGGTGGAGGGGCGGCCTCCTGCCATCGAATGGCCTGTGGCTCACAGCAGCCAGTGCGCTGTGGACTAGGATCTTCCTGACTGTAACCTTTCAGATTGCCAGACCTTTCTTCTGCACCACCAGGCACCTGGTGGGGGTGGGGTGGAAGAGTCTAAATAAATGCTCATTGTCATGAGCAGAAAGTCTTGGAAAAGGTTGGAAAGTTGATAAAGCAAGAGAGCCACACATGCTCCTTATAGTTGTTAGAAAACACCACCAAGGTGAGGACTTGGGTGGGGGTGTGGCACGGCCTATGTGTCCACCCAAAGGATGTGAGATATTTTGACTTTGTTTTAAACTGCATGATTTAGAAAAAGCCTTTATGAGGAGCCCTGTAGGGCTGTGAGGAACACACAGCACTCAAGACCTCTGGCTCAGGTGGGCACGTTTTGGTGGAGGCATGGGGCTGGAGATGGCTTGAGGTGTGTCTCAGATCCTCAACTTGGATGCCCAGCATTGACACTCAGGGTCCTTCCCCAGAGGGCCTTGCCTTCACTGTGGATGAAACATGGGGTGCTGTGTGGGGTCCCCTCGGTGAGATCTACAGCCAAGGCAGCCCTGATCCCTTTCAACTGCTGGGTGTGGGGCCATTGGAAGGGGGATGTGGGTGCAGGGACCCCGGAGAGCAAGAGGCACTGTGGCTGCCCTTGTGGGCAGCCTGAGGGGGAGACAAGGAACTGTGTGAACAGATGGAAATGTGAAGTCTGCCCGAGCCTGTTTCCCTCTGGAAACTGCAGCCAATTCCGGGGAGGCAGTTACCGAGTAAAGCCACTGCCCGTGCAGTGGCCAGTTCAGATGAACACAGATCCCTCTACAGGAGAGCAGAGTGGGGTCCAGGCCCAGGCCCTCCCCAAGTCCTGCTTCTCACAGGGGGACACATTAGCAATTCAACAAGGACTGAGTCACACCACCACAGATGGTTTATTCCCTGGCCAGCCCTAGACAGCTGTCACGTTGTCACCCAGCCACAGCTGGTTTGCAGCCTCAATGGGTCAGAGGTCACAGGGAGGACACTGCGCCGTCCCCAGCCTGCCCCCCCATGGGGCTGCACTCTGCATTGGTTTAGTCAAGAGCAGCCAGCAAGCCGGGCCAGTGCCCTGGGTAGGGGCAGGGGGCTAGAGACCCTCACACAATACCACTTGTCCCCCGTGGGTGGGGAGTGCTGGTGGTTCTGCCTGTCGGCCAGCAACATAGCAACCAATTCTGCCCAGGCACGTGAGGACCCGTGCACAGGCCACTGTGGCCCGGGTGGCTATGGGCAGGCAGAGGCTGCACAGGGGCTGAGTCCTGGCCAGGAGCAGGGACGGCAGGGCTGGCCTTGGTTCCGTCCCAAGAGGGGCTTGGGCATCTGTGTGGCAACGGCCCGGGTCTCAGTCTCCACCTGGACAGGCTACTTCCACCGAGGGACATGCCCCACTGGGCCACCGCTCTGGCTGCCGTGCCTGTCTGTCCAGTGCCCGCGGGACGACCTTGAGCCTGCAGAGGTGGTACCGACGGTGTGGTGCCCAGAGCCCAGCTCGGTTTACAGATGCACACGGTGAACGTTCCAGGGCCAGGGCTGTGCCGGCCTGGGCCTCCTCGCTGACCAAGAGCCCCAGCCCGTGGCCCTGAAAGTGGGCATCACTATCCCCATCACAGGAGGAAAAAGGTGCAGAGGCCAGCTGCGCCTGAGGCCATAGCTGAGCCAGCTCCCCAATCCTGCCTGCTTGTGTACCCTCTGCCAGGCCCTGTGCCCACAGTCACGTCTACAAGGAAGGGCTGTGCAGCTCCCCATGGGGCCCAGCCTCCAGCTGAGGCAGATTGGACCGTCTGTGTCCAGAAGCAGGGGCCGCTCTGCCCATGTGGACAGAGCTGGCCTCAGCCTGTCCTTGATGTCTGTGTATTGGGGAGACCACAGTTCTGCCAGCCCTTGCGTGGCTAACAGTGGCCAGGCTCCTCCAGACCATCTGGAAGGCGAGGTGCCCAGCCAAGGAACGGCGTTTGCACTCAGCGCATGTGGAAGGCTGACTGTGTACAAACTCCTCTCGTGGGGCCTGGAGCGGGACGCCTCTCAGGCACCACACTCCCAGCATCCCGACAGCAGCTCTCTGGTTGTGCGGAGCCCAGCACAGCGGCCAGGCCTTGTGGAGACAGGGCCTCGAGTGGGCCCTCCAGAAAGGGTCACACTGGTTCCTGAGGAGGTGGCCTCTGTGGATGCTGCTACGCCACTTGGCTCAAGTCCAGGCCGGGGGGAGCCGCAGTGCATGAGCGGCAGTGCGTCCAGACCCCAGGCCTCAGGGAGGGTCAGTGAACAGGTGTCCTTCTGGGCTGTGCCCATGCAGCCCAAGGCAGGGAGACACACCGGGGCAAGCAGGGACTGCCCTCCTATGCCTGGTCACGGAGGCTGAGGGCTGTCTGCAGGCAGCCCTGGGGTGCAGGGAGCTCTCAGGCAGGGCCCCTGGAAACCAAGAGGGAGCAGGCAGTGAGGAGGTGAGTAGGGAATGGGGTGAGGGCGCCCCTAGTCCTCCATCACCGCAGCTGGCACTGCTCAGGGTGGGTGGCTTCTGGAGGCTGCCCGCCCACCCCAGGGCCCAGCATCCCTGGCCCTGCCCAGCAGCCTGGCACCTGCTCCAGCCCTAGGCGTGCTCCATCTCCTGGTCTGGGTCGGGCTCCTCCTCGTCGTCATCGTCCTCCTCCTCCTCCTCCTCCTCCACACCGGGCTTGTCCAGGGGCCCCTGGCCGTCCCGTGCCAGCTCCTCTACGTGGGCCAGCATGTCGGCCATCAGTGCCTCCTCCAGCCGCTTGCGCACCTGCTGCACCAGCTCCTCCTGCTTCCTGGGGACACACGCGTGCACTTGTGGGACAGATGGGGCCAGCCACTCCGCCCCAGTAGACAGAGCAGAGCGCGGTCCCCCGGAGAAGCCAGGATGGAGGCCACAAGCCACCAACTCTGGGCAGCCAGAGTGTCACACCTTGCTCTGCAGCCATGTGCAGACAAGCAGAGGCAGGGGCGTGCCGGGTTCACAGACATCGTCCCAACAGAACAGAACAGAACCAACCGGGAGAGGTCAGCTGGGGCCCACTGGGATCTGAGCACAGACTGGGCTGACTGAGGGGCGGAGAGGCTCCTTGTCATGCAGGACCACGTCCCTGTCCTCAGAGGGAACGAGGAGGGCCACAGGCCACCTGCTGAGCTGGGCCCCAGGGTACTATGCTCTCTGCTGTGCAAACGGAGAATTCTAAGGACAAGGTGGTTGACGCCCGCTGTGGCCTGGCTTCCAGAGGCGCCGCTGAAGAGCACGCCGGCCCCGGACTCGTCCCCACGGGACCGTCTGTGCGCCCTCTGCTCAGAGAGCTCCCTCCTTGTCTTTAGCGCCCTGCATTCCCAGTACGACGTGAACCCAAGATCCACGTCCAGTTCCGGAAAATGCTCAGCCTCTCTCTTCCCCCGGACTCCTCATGTGACTCCTCCCTAGTTCACCCCCGGTGGACGTTGAGAGGAAAGACAGAAACATGAGCTTGGGGTGTTTCCGCCTGCTCCGGCTGATGCGTGTGGAGAGCAGGGGACGTCTCCCCAGACGATCTCCAACCACGGCCCCTTCAAGGATGCCTGGCTCGTCCTCCAGCAGACACCTGGTCTCCTACAGCACCCAGAAGGGCGTCCCACCTCACCCCTGCACCAAGAGGCCTGGGCTGCGCTCAGGGCTAGGAGCAGCAGTATCTGTGCGGCCCTACTAGGCCCAGGCCAACACCCCAGAAGCTCCAGCAGCAGAGGCCGCCTCGGGGAACAGGAGCGTCGCCCGCACTCAGGGACACGTCTGCCCACAAGCCCGGGCGCGGGTGCACTACCTGATGTCCTCGTCGGTCACCATGAAGGCCTTGCACAGGGGCTGGGTCGTGTTGAGCCACACTCCTGGGTTCTTCTCCACGGCGGCGGACAGCTGCCCTGTGATGGGCATCGTGCTCGTGTGCAGGGCGCTGGCGATAGCTGACAGCAGGGTCTCGTCGGTGCAGCCGGGCCCCACGCCTGCCAGCAGACAGCCCCGGCTCAGCACGAACCCCTGAGGGGACGCGCTGGAAAGGGGTGCTTGTCCGGCTTTCCTGAGTCTCGGGTTTCGTTTCCCCACCCTCTTGCAGATGTGTGGGCTCACTTTTTTGTAACAGAACAAGACGAGTTCTGTGTTCGCAGAGACGATGCGGAGCAAAATCAAACACCCCACAGGTCTTTGTTGGAACTCGTTCTTGCCTGAGACCCCTAAGGCAGGCTGCTGTGTGGGCTACAGACTCCCCTGTGAGTGGGGGGTCAGGGCCCAAGTGTAGGCTCTGGAGGCAGACCGCCATTCAATGCCCCAAGTACACCCTGGCTGTGGGTCCTCGCCCCCCCCAGTTTCCCCGCCGCCCGGGACGCTGATGCCTCCCTGTGCCCACGGGGCCGGGTCACCTTGCAGGCCCTTCGGGAGCTCCATGGTCTTCACCAGTTCCTCAGCGATGTCAAAGGCATTCAGGCCGCTCAGCTTCTTCTCCCAGAAAAGCTGCCGCCAAACCACAACCACACTGTGGTCAGCCTGGAGGGCTGGCCACCCCAGGTGGCCTCGAGGGCCCCCTCGGCCTGACCTCCACACCTGGGGATACCCCTGAGCACAAGCACCTTCATGGGCAGGGATGGCCGCCTACAGCCATCACAACCACCGTGAGGGGTACCATGGGACTGAGGCACCAGCAGTGCGTGCTTCCAGCCCATCTGTCTGCCCTGCTAGCCCCTCGGCCCTCACTTAGTGGGACACCCCAGGCAGGAGCTGCAACGACAGGACTCATGCGGGGCACTGCAGCCGGAACCATCCAGCACCCACGTCTCCCCAACAACCCAGCAGGCATTCGCAGTGATGAGAGCCTGCCCACGGTCACCCTGGCTCATGTGGCAGGTGCTCGAAGCCACATGCAAACACACAAGGTTTGCACACAGTGTCAACAGACACCGAGTTCCTTGGGAACATGATGACATCGGTTACAGAAAACCTGAACGTCACGATGTGTAGACTTTCTCCCCTGGAACCGTGCTGCTCAGCTGGCTCCCAAGGGCCCTGCTCCTGCTCCAGAAGACCCAGCCCACCCTCCCAGCCTGCACTGGGGGGTTCTGACCCCCACTGCCCTTCTCAGCATGCACTGGGGTGCTGACCCCCACTGCCACTCCCAGCCTGCACTGGGGCGCTCTCACCCCCTGCTGCCCCTCCCAGCCCACACATGGGGTGCTCTGGGGTGTGCCCAGTCTACACATGGAGACCTTTTGGCATCCCAACTAGCAAGCTGCTTCCTGACAATCTCTCTCCGACCGTCCCCAAGGAGAGCGGAGTGAGGGGGACCAGCAGGGCAGGGGAGGGGCCGTACAGTCTATGGCTGAGTCGGGCCACAAAAGAACCGTACTCCCTCACAGTTCTGAAGGCTGAAGTGTGAACTCGGGACCAGCTCTGGGGACAGTGCCTGTCTCTGCCCCTCCAGTACCAGTGTTCTCGGTGCCTTGGCCATCTCCACGTGGCACCTGCCCCCCACCAGTGCTGCTGCTCTCTGCCGGACCAGCTCCTTCCAACTCAACATCCATCAGGTCTAGGATCCAGCCTACACAGCCAGGGACTTGTTAACAAAGAGAAGCCCGTTCCAGGTGGGAGCACACCCCCAGGTACAGGCGAGAAGCCACACCACCTATGAGGGGAACGTACTTCAATCCCCAACAACCAAAGTCCTGTCAGGACAACTCTGGGCTTAGGCGTTCATGGTCCAAAAGCCAGCTGTCTCTGGCCAACGCCCTCCCATGACCACAGACTGGGGTCCCTCGGGCTCCATGCCCCGTGGTTATAGCAGAGCCCTCACCACTGCCCACAACAGCCCCTGCCACCAAGCTCACGTGTAAATGCAGAAACCACTCATGGTTCCTAACTTCCCAAAAGCTCCTCATGAAGCTTTCCCCAACACCTCCCGCAGGAGCTGGGGGTCCATGCGGGGGAATCAGGGCCTGGGCCAGCCGCGGGGCTGCAGCCGCCAGACTTCGCGTTCGCCATGGCAAGTGGCTCAAGAACACGTGGCGTGAGCTCAGAGGAGTGCTCCAAGCCCCAGGCCACTCACACTGGCTTCTACCAAGAGTGTCCTTGTGGTGAGACCCTCAGACAAGTCAGATGGCAAGGGGCCGGGCAGTCCTTGAGGCAGTGGGGCTCACCTGCCGGGGCTGGTCCACAGCCTTCTGGGGGTCACTCTTCACCTTGTTGCTTGGGTGGTTGGTGATCTTGGTCACTGGCTGCTTGAAGATGGACGCTGTCTGCCGCACGGGGAGCGCTGTGTTCAGGTCGGGCTTGCCCTGAAGAGACAATGTGCTGGCTCGTCCACCCTGAGGGCTCTCTGGCCTGCCCACTGCCCCGCCGGTCTCGCCAGGCTGGGCGCCCGACAACAGCCAACGTAACGGTTACCTCTACCCTCTTCTGGACACCAGAGCCCCCATCTCCCAGGGTCCTGAGCCAGTGAGCCCCATTCTACTTTGTGTGGCCCCTAGCTCCGTCCACCCACCTATTCCTCTTCACCTAGCACCTGTGGGGTGGGCCCTATTGGCACTGATACTTCCCTCTGGACCAATCATATCTCCTTGCTTCTAAACACAGACTGTACGGCATCCCTGCCACAGCCCCGAGGCCCGCCCACCTCTGTTGTCCACAGTCAGCCGAGGGACCATCATCCCCACTGCTGGGTTCCTGTTCCCAGCACCCCATCAGGCACCCATGGTTCTGCAGGCTGACATCTTGCCCTCTCCTGGCCCTGAATGGGGTGTCAGCTCTGACACACACACCTGCCTCCTCCCTGCAGCTGGCCATCCAGGCCTCATTGCCTCCTTTATTTGCGAGTGACAAATCTCCATTCCTGGGGCTGAGGCCACACCCCAAGCTGCTGTCCACCCTCACTGCCTGGCCCAGCCAGTACTGGATGAAGCCGCTGCAGGCAGCGCGCCCCTGTGGACCGTCACACAACTGCTGCAAATGCATGTGCACTTCCAATAGCTTACAAAAACACGAGTGTCACATGCGCGCGCACACACACAAATAAAAACAAAAAAACTAAACTCCTTGCCGGGGAGTCCGATCCGACTTACAGCGAGCCCTCCTTGGGTTTCCGAGGCGGTATCACTATGGAAGTAGATTGCCCAACCTTCCTTCCGAGGACTGGCTGGTGGGTTTGAACCGCCAGCCTTCCAGTTAGCAGTCAAGTGTCTTAGGACACACATACAAAGGAGCAACAGCATGCAGAGATGGAGGGAGCAGCCCCGGCTCGTGTCCCGGCCACCCCTTGCAGTGCCCACACCCAGTGAGCCGAAAGAGGCTCACCTTGACCTGGCTGGAGGAGTCGTAGCGCGTCCGCTGCCGGCTCTTGTTCACCTTGCTCATCAGCGTCCGGCCCGTGCGGAAGTCGAAGGTGCTCAGGTCCATGGAGCCGCCCAGGTAACGCGCCAGCTGGGGCTTGCTGCGGAACTTCTTCCCGCTGGGGCTGCGGACGGGGGCTGGGGGTCAGCGCCTGGCCGGCACCACCATTTCACCCTCCGCTTGGGCCGCCCTCCCCAGGACAGCCAGGGAGGGCAAGGTCAGGCATAGGGCAGACACAGCTGCTCAGTGAAGGATGAGGGCATCTGCCCACAGGATGGGCCTGGCCCTTGCAGCTTCCTGCTCCCGAACATTATGGGGACAGGATCAGACCAGTCTGAGAACAGACTCCAAGGAGAGTGCGCAAGAGACACACCGAGAGTGGCCTCTTCCTCATGGGTACCATGTCGGGGAGGGTCTATCAAACCCCAAGAAACAGCTCCTTGGTGTGAGCCAGTAGAAAACTTGGAAATGGGGACTGGGCTTGAAGCCCCCACTCCTGCTCACCACGGGGATGAGCACAGGCAGTGTCCTTGCTAGGAAGTCACACCGCCAAGGCACAGGGTCGCTGTATCAAGTGAGGCCGTGCTAGGTATCACCACCGTCATGATCACAGCTGAGAATGTAAGGTGGTGCAGACACCCGGGAAAACGGCCCCCACGTGACCAAGCAATTTTGCTCCGAGGTATACGCCCGAGAAAAACGAATGCACACGCCCACACAGAAACCTGTACACGATGTTCTACTCTCAACAGTCAAAAGGTGGGCACAGGGAAAGTGTCCACAGGTGACGGACGAACTCACTGGGGCCACCCCCACAACAGGACAGGACTGAGCCATGAAGCGTGAAGCTCTGACACGCTGCATGGCCGAGCCACACGGAGAGAGGCCACCCCAAGGACAGACATCACGCGACCCCACTATACTCCACAGGCAGAAACGGGCTTCGTGGCTGCCAGGGGCTGTGAGCTGGGGGAAGGGAGTGACAGCTAACGGGTGCGGGTTTCCCTCTGGGATGACGGCAGCGTTCCCACTGGCTGTGGCGAGGGCTCCTTAATTGCTTCCACAGCTCCATGAGTGTGCCACAAAGCCCTGCAGCGTGCCGAGTGCACTGGCGCCCGCAGGCTGGGTGAGGACAGCAGGAGCGGTGCGGGTTGGGGGCTCGGCTCTGGGCACCTGCCGCCGGGGGGCTGGGCTCGAGGGCAGCCAGCCCACAGCAGGCACGGGTGCTGAGACCACGACACGCGTCTCCCAGAAGACCCGCTCTGCTCCTCGTGCTCTGTGCTGCCCAGCGTTCAGCCACAGCCCATGTGCCCAGGGCAGCAGGAAGAAGCCCATGATGGACTTAGCCTTCAAATTCCACCACAGGCATGGGAGTGGCCGTGGGAACCTAGACTGTCCTGCACCTCCAGTGCCCCCTGCACTGCTGTTGTCTTTAAAATGAACACGAGGCACAAAGTGGTTTAGTGGGTGCCAGGGCTGGGGGCAGGGAGGAGAGTACTAACTGGTTCAGGGTTTCCTTTGGGGGTGATGAGAATGCTCTGGAATTAGATGGCGGTGCTGGTTGCACCTTCTGGTCAGCAGCCAAATGCCTTAACCACGATACCACCAGAGCTCCTGGTGGCACAGCGCCTAAGGCACTTGACTGCTAACCAGAAGGTTGGAGGTTCAAGCCCACCAACCACTCTGCAGAAACAAGACCTGGCAGTCTATTTCCGTAAAGATTTACTGCCTCGGAAACCCTTAGGGGGTTGCTATGAGTCAGGATTGCTCAATGGCAGTGGGTTTTTTTGGTTTTGATGGTTGCCCAACTTTGTGAAGATACTAGAAATGGCCCTTCTCTGAATGAGGAGACCCAGGACCCTGGTTTGCCTACACTCCCGCCTCCAACAGGGGTCCCAGTGGCTGGCAAGGGGGCCAGGAACCCCAGCTCACAAATGCTGTATCAGGGTCACCATCTCCCCTTGACCCGCCACTCCTTCCCCTGGAAGGATGATGGCCCCAACCTTCTGGGTAGTCACTGGGGCCAGAGACCCGCTGAAGCCCTCATCAGTGGACCCACCCTCTCAGGCTTCCTCTCTGAAGCTTTTCCCTGGTGCCCTCTGCCAGACCCTGTGCTTGGGGCTGGGGTCGGGTCACAGAGCAGAGCTCTAAAGCAGGTGAGGATGGGGAGGGTGACTGTTTAGACTCGGGGCTCTGGCCACGCCGGCCTGGGTTTGCTTACAACCTGCAGCCTCCTGGGGCCTTTGTACAAGCTGCTGCCTCTGCCTGGACCCTTCCTCCCTCCTCTACCCACCAGGCTCAGCTTGGGGGTCCCCTCCTCAGAGGGGCCCTGGTTACCTGTCCTCATAGATCCCTACACTCCCCAGAATGTGTCACCACCTGTAACTACAGGTCCAATGAGGCAGTTGCTGGCTGGGTGGCCACTGGCTGGTCGGCTGTCATCCTGGAGGGGCAGGCCTGTGGCTCCCTCCCAGCAGCACGTGGTGTGAGCAGTGCCTGTGAATGAAAGCCTAACAAGGCTCAGACGGGCGGAGTCTCATTGATGCTTTGTGAACATAACTAAGCTGTGGGCAAGGGTGCTTGGAATTCAACAGACAGCCTGGCGGTAGATAGCTCCTAGCCAGGTACCTCCTCACTGCCCCACGACACAACCACAGCTTGTAGGTTTTGATGAAGAGCCAGCCAAGGACGGAAGCCATATAAGCTGGCAGCAAAGTGGAGCACACACAGGTGGCTCCGAGCCCCACGGCCATAAGTCTCACCCATTCAATGCCTGAAGTCAGGCTCTGCTCAAACAGCCTATGTGTGGTGCCGACAGCCTCCGCCCTTTTTGTCCTGGACGTACTCCTAAACACAACATCCCTTTGCTTTCTGCTCTCCCAAAATGGGGACCACAAACCACTCAAGCAGACTCAAGAGCCGGCTAGATGGACCAGCCGCTTTGAGCCCCCTTGGCTCCTACCAACACTGCTCTCCAAGCTGCCAGCCTGGAGGGGAGGGCAGTGGGATGGCCAGTGACCACCACACATCCCCAGAACCCAGCAGGCATTCAGGCAACATCGGGTGTCTGGCTTCTCAGTCGCCCCCAACCGGCGGTGTCACCAAGAACAGGAGCAAACGGGAGGAAGCAACAAGAGTTGGCAGAGAAGCGAAGGTATCTTCCTCCAGTCAGGAGCCAAGGGCAGAGAGAGGATTTGCAGCAGGTGGCCGGCCAGCTGGGGCTGGGTTGCAAGCAGCCAACCGAGTCCTTTGTTCTATGGGGTCCCCGCCAGCGTCCCCAAACCAAAAGAAGCGCCGCCCTCCGGTTTGGGGTACGGGAGCTTCAGACTCTCAATAACAGAAAAGCAAAGTGTGTCTAACGGCTCTATAACCTGGACGGTCTCTGCCCCCAAGGAGCTGTGATTTTCCAATAAGACCAAGAGACGGGTCGAAGGACATTAAAAAAAAAAAAAACAGAAGTCGTGGCCTAGCTACCCTGGAGGCCCATTCCCAGGGGCGGGGGAGTGGGCCAGGGATCTGCATTTTTGGGACGCTTTCTCCAGCCCCCTAGATAGACCTGAGCCCCCGAAACCCCGCCTTGACCTCCGCGCGCTCCCAAAGACCCCCGTCCGACCCAATGGAATCCAGGGGAGAGTCCAGCCCCCACCCCCGCCTCCCAGCAGCCTCTGGCCGTCGCCGGGCGCCCCTCGCCCTGCGGCCCTGCTCTCTGAACAAAGGCCGCTGCTGCCCAACCGGGGCCAGTCCGAGCGCCATGCGGCCGCCCGCGCGGGGGGCGCACGCACGCGCCTTGGACTGCGGCGCGCCGGGCACGCACGCGCACAGGGCCG